TTAATTCCAAACATTCGTCTTTATATTTGACACAGAAGGGAAGGCAGGAGAGGTGAAATTGTTAGCATTGTGTTTATGATCATGGAGATGGCAGCTAGACATGGTTTCCGATGTTGACTCTTTATTAGCTACATGACCTTGGGCAAATTACTTCAGCTCTCTGAGTAGCAGCGTTTTTCATCTGTAAATGAGGATTATAACAATATTTTATGAAGGAGCAAATAATTTAACATATGTAAAGCACTTAGTATATAGAGCCAGGTATAGAATGTTTAATAATGACAGCTATTATATTATTACTGAATACAAGACCATTGGGCAGCCACCAAATTGTTTTTAACTCTGGGTCTCCAACATTTGTTGAATATTCATTACTATTTATAATAATGAATAATAAATAATAATAAATAAATTGATATATTGTATAAAGATATATTATAATAATTTCCACGCATGGACCTCAAAGAATATGTTAGATACTAAACTAGCCGTTTTATATAAACAGATTTTATTGAATCCCTTCACAATAATGCCTTAAGATACATTATTCAAATTTTAAAGCAAACAGGTTTCAGAATAATAAAGTAACTTGTCCAAGGTATTGTAGCTAAGTTACAAAAGTCCACTGAAACTCATGTTTATATGACTCAAAAGATTATACCCTTTCCACTACATTATTCTGTTTTCCATTCCATTTAGTATTTTCCTTAACACAGAAAACAAGCATATATGATAATTACACCCCATTTTTTTTCTGTTGAGAGAAACCAAAAATCAAAGATTCTAAATAACTTGTCCAGTATCATCTGGTAAGTGGCGGAGGTCTTCTGACGAGGAATTTGTTCTTTTTCCATTTCAACACAAGTGTTTTACAACATATTATGGGGGAAAAAAAATCAGATGTCCCAAGTCAAATGAAAAAAAGAGAGAGAGAAAGAAGAAACAGATGTGTTAATGGAGAAGGGGAACCTGGATAGTGTTCTCTTAAATTTAAAGAAATAAACTACCAGTTATTAAAATCTTTCAGGAGCTAAGATTCTATTATGGCATTAGAGGTTTATTTGAAAAAAATAAAAGTAAGCCATATGACATTCCACAGAATCTTTCTCATAAAGAAAAGAGAGAAGCTGTTATTTCACTGAGCTGTTGCCATGGTTACCTACAACCCATGACTCTCTGCTGAAATGTGACTTTTCTCTTCCTACTGTTTGCTTCCATGTGATGTGCTTTTCATCTGATGAGTGAATTTCTTGACCACATTTCACTCATGTCTATCATCTACGAACGTTTTTTCTCTTTATTTTGATCCATCACTACAGCTACCCCTGATCTACCTTTTGTTTTTATGGTTTAGCTTCCAACATTGGATCTAATTGTGTCGAGCACAGGTATTCATACTTTAACGCTACTAAGCACTCCCATCTCCCAAAATGATGAACTGTTTTAATTGAGGACAAACATACTTCCACTTTAAAAGCTCTTGACATTAAACTAACAGACAAATAAAAGAGAAAGCATACAAAAATGACGGGAATCCTGAATATAAGAAAAATAATTTTCTGAAAAGCCTAACAGTACCTGATTTTTAAAATATTTTATTTAATAGAAAACTCTACTAGTAAATATTATTACTCTCACTTAAATAACACTTAGATATGTTGTAACTTACATGATCTTCTCTATCGCGTGCTCGCTTTTGTTGCATGCATACACACATACACATAGAAGCCCAGAAAGAACTATGCAGCATATTTTATTCTAAACTTTGAGTAAATCACTGCTTGTTTTGGCATTGTTGTGTCCTTGGCCTTGGGGTCTATTGCTATAAGGAGGTATGGTCTAAGGTTCTAGAAATCCAGCCATGCAGAGTTTAATTTTTAATGTATGTTAACACTGGAGCTCACAATTCCATGATTTTTAATTTTGTTCAATTCAACATACATTTTTAAAGCCCATTTCATGTGTATATCATGGTCCTGGATTCTGTGGATATAGAAAGAAAGTAGAAAGAGTCTCTACCTTGGAGAAGCTGATAGTCTGGTAGACAAAGATAGGTTTGAAAGCAATTACATGTACTGAAGAGTTATAGATGCTACAATATAAATCTGTACAAAGTGTAATGATAGCACAAAGAGGTGAGGGTCAATTCCACCTGAGTGAGGCAGGTGGATCAGTAAAAGACTAATGGAATATTTTTGTTATAACATGGATGAAAAGGACTATATCAGAATATCTGCCCCAGTTTCCTGTGCAACTAAATTTAAAGGAGTTGAAGGGACTATGAGTCAAATTTTACACCCATAAATTAGTGGCTTATTAGATCTCTTCTGAGCCTAAACGGCCCCTTATAAATAGGGGAATAGCATTGGAGTCAAAGGCACTAAGTTTTAATCTTCAGCTGTGTCACCTTGGACAAATCATCCTACCTATTCAGGCCTATCTTCTTTTATAAAATGTGGGCACTAATTACTCATCACTGAAGATCTTTTAGCTCAGAGTTAATAAATGCTATGAATCTCTAAAACCTTTATTTTTGTCTCAAGTAAAAAATATCTGAAATCAAGGAAAAAATGGAGGCTTTGTATCAAAGGGGCTATCAGTCTAGCTGATTTGGAAGGCATTGATGAGCTCACTGAATCTGGATGCTGTTTGTTCTCACCTCACACAAAATAGTTTACTTCTTGATTTAAGTGTTCACTTCAAGCAGAAAGATTTAAGCTAGTAATGTGTTTATTACAGAACCTGAGTTTGTAAAGTGAAATAGACACCACAACAATTTCCATATTAATTAAATCAGTGATTCTCAGCGATGGCTGCACATTTGAATCAAATGAGACAAGTTTTAAAAGTACAGACACGCAGACTTCACAGTGGACCATCTGAATATGATTTTCTGGCAAAAGTTAGACAGGTGGAGTCCATGCTGGTTTTTTTTTAAGCTCCTTAGGTGATTTAGACACTGAGAACTGCTGAATCAAATCAATATAAACAACTGATCTTAATTTTTAAAGGACTGTAACCTGAGGCTGAGCAAAGAAATAGAAACAGCCAATGAAAGTTGGGTTTGTCACCTCACACAGTGATACCACTCACAGTAGGTAGACACAGCTGTTCATTCATTTCACCTTCCTTATTTAAACTGTTATTTGCTTGGTTTTCTTCAATGGTCTTTGTCCACTCTGTTTCCTAATTTTATTTTTACCAGCAGTTACTACACAGCAGTTTAATCATAGAAAAATGTTGAACCTAAGGTAACAATTTCAGTCCGGTGTTTACCTACAAGACCCCAAAATTTTTATTTAGAAATAAAATTGACCACAATCATAAAGAAAAAAAAGGGAAAATTTTTCCACTCAATAATCAATAAGTGGCTAGAAAAAAATTACAAATATTGTTCTAGGTATCACCAAGTGGCATAGGTCTCATGAAATTAGATATCAATTAGTATCTATCCATTAAGCTTGAATGTGGATGTTGTAACTTTTTTGGTAATTGCGATAATCTTTCAGCTTTTCTGGGTCAAGCAAAGCTGTATAATTGAGGAAAGCATTATAACTGACTGAAAATTCCACATCCAAGCTTAGCAATATTTTAAGCGGTAACAGAGGATGAGAGCTAGAGTTTTACACTTTATAGATTAGTGTAGGAGGTCTGAAGGCTTATGGAAATAGCTTTTTTTTTTCAAGCACACTTTTCCAGCCTTTCCTGCACAAATACACTCATTGCTCTTGGTAAGTAGCTGACATTAGTGACACCAGATATTCCACAGTGGCCATTTTTCAATGAGCTTCAATAGGCTGCATTTGGAAGGTGTGTGAACTTGGAGGGTTGTGTGGGAAGCCATCCACATTTCAACACTGCAGAGTGCGAGGTGCCATTTCAATATTGGGCTCAGTTCCACAAAACATTGCTAGTCAAAAATGCTGCATTAGAAATTTTTGAAATACAGGCAGAAAAGGACTCCTGCTACCTTATGGTTTTAAAGTGATAAATAATTAAAAGCATATTTCTTTGCTTACCTTTTGTCCCTAGCCCAGAGTGAAAAATTCAGAATAGGAGAAACAGAAATTAAATTTCAATATAGCCATCTCTTATCTTGTACCTCCAAAGTTTGCACGTATTTAGGAAAAAAAGCTAATTTCTTCAGCAGCTTAATGAAAGAAGTGAGACAGCATGGGCCAGATCCTTTGGCTAAAGACATCATGGCAGTCATGTCCTTGGAAGTAGTATAGAGTGGTCATACAGCCAGACTATCTGGGCAGAAATCTGGTCTCTGCTACTTACTAGCTCTGTGATCTCGTACAAGTTATCTAATATCTTTATGCCTCAGTTTTTTAATCTATAAGGTGGGGAAAGGTTAGTAAGAGTATTAAGTGAATGAACACATAAAAACACTTGCAAAAGGGCTCCATACGTGCTAAATACTCAATGAATATTAGCTATTTTCATTGCCTATTTGGGCCTCAGGGCCCTCATATTTTTTTTAATGAAGATTTAATCCAATTAACGTTTCCTGAACTTTCCTGATGATAATCATCACCATAGACATTTAGTAAGTGATACCTCCCTTACACCCTCCCCTGAAGATTCTGATCAAGGGGTCCAGGACAGAGCCAGGAATTTCTATTCTTAATTTGTACACTGTATAATATTTATTGTGAAGGAAATTTCAGAAACACTGCCCTAAATCATTTATTTATTTAATCATCAAAATATTCATTCATCCATTCATTCAACAAATACTTAATGAGCTTTTACCATTTGCCAGGCACCATCTTAGATGCTGGGAGATACAGTGATGAACCAAGTACTCTTTATTTATTATAGCTTAGTTACCTAGTAGAAGATATTAGACAACCACACAACTGTCTATGTAACTACAATTGTGAAGTATGCTATAAAGGACAAATACAAGGTCTGCTCAGGGAAGGGGAGGGAGGTTTATGAGGACCTGCCTGAAGAAGCGATTGCTAAGGTTCCTTTATGCTCTGCTATTGTAGGTCCAGCAGACCTTACCTGCCAAGAGGAGAAGACAGATGCTGGGCTGATCAGATTCGGATTTGCTGGGTTGCGCCCTCCAATGTACTCATCTGTGCAAACGTCACAGTTTTCTGCATCTCGCCAATCCCAGTATGGAATAGTGAAGTTCTCATCCCCTGTCAGCTTCTGAATTTCTTGTTCCCACAGCAACAAGAAGACTCTATGCCAAGGCAGGAAACCTGGTGCTTCATGAGCAAAATCGATATTTTTCCAGACTTCAGATCCTCCAAGCAATGTGTCCCTTGACGCATAATAATGCATCCACACAAAGAGGTCATAAATGGTGATGTCCTTAAACATGGGTTTTGATCCATTATTCATTTGGCCATAGGTGCCTATGGGGATGACGTAATCTGGGCTGGTAGTATGCTTTGCTAAAGTGAGGTAGGCAAGAAATTTGTTCTTCTCTGGAACACTCAAATCAAAGATGCTTCTTCTCACCAAGAGTCGTCTCTCTGTGCAGTTTCGTCCCCCAAAGCCAAACTTGCAGTCTCCACAGTTGAATCCCATGAAGTTGCCAAAGCACTGGCAGGTCCTATTATAAAAGACGGAGGGCCAGGACTCCCGGTCGTCCACTCCTGCGAAAGGGAATTGGGGCCCAGATGGTGCGTTGGACAGAATGACATCCTGACAGGAACCCCTGCCTGAAAGCTGGCCACAGGGACTGCGGTCACCCCTCCACTTTGGGCAGCATTCCTTCTCCATCAGGTTCTTGGAGGAGGCACAGGCTCGAGGGAACTGGCCAACAGAGGCCTGGAAACTCCACAGCAGGCAGTACAAAGCAGCCAAGAGCATTCTTCCTCTCATCCTCACAAGGTCTGCTTGAGCTCGTTAATTGAGCCACAGGCTTCTCTTTCCAGCTACTCAGTGACTATCACATGTTTTGGCTAAGACCTATATAATACCACTCCCAGCTCCAGCATCAAATAATCTCAGTTTTATCTTAAGCTTTCATCTTCTGAAAAGCACATGACTAACTTTCCTTTGAAGTTGCCATGTATCCCACCAGTGGGATAGGCCTACATTAAAGTCACCATTAATAGTTTATTGTTGTCACTATTAATAGTTTATTAATGGTGAATAGTAATATTAAGAATTAATAGTTTAATTCTTAGGGTTAGAATAATAATAATGATGATGATAATAATAATAATGCCTGATCTAAGTAAACCCAATTAATTGACTATGAAATTAATAATGATTTGTATTTGAAAATGAGAAGCAGTGTCAGCAATAGAGCTTCTCTTGCTAAGAAAGGTCAGCAAGTGTTAGAGACCATGGGTGCAAGCTGTTTGTTTCTCAGAGACCATAAAATAAGTCACGGTATTTACATAACTCAGGTTTGCAGAAATAAATTCCTTCCAGAGCCTTGAGATTATTTCTTATGTCTGATTATATCGCAGTTTATTTATTTTATAAAAAATGTCAAAAGAAAAAAATCTTTCTCATACTTCTCCCTAATTATCTTGATATATTTGGCTGCTTTCTGGTTCTCTAACCACTCATTTTCTCACCATTACTAAGGATAGGTCACTTTGATGGGTGGGTGGTCTGCTTTATTGCGGGGACTTTTACCAGATAATATTTCAGAGTAAACTCTTTTTTAAAAAAATGCTGGAGCCATCTTGTTTCACCTATAAGTTCTGGAAATTTGTTACTTGAAATTTTTTTGCAATATGGTCTTGAAAGAAGTTCTCAATTTAGGGGGTGAATGAATGAAGATCAGTACATTTATTCAACAAATATTTATTGATAATCTAAATTCTTTCAAGAATTCTCTCTCTGTGTGTATAGTGAGCTAGATAAATTAAACACATGGATAAAAATATAATTTTACTTCTTTAGGAAAGGAAACGAATGCTAGTTTTCAAATGAGTAGTATAGATAATAAGTACATCTGGTTTTAATGGAGGGGACAATCCTGTGAACTGAGAATGCTGGAAAAGTTTGGAATACAGTATTCAAATTATATTAAGGTGGTGTCCCTCAAGTAAAACCTTAAAGGGTGGGCATAAGTTGGAAAACAAATGAGAATGGGGACAATACTTCAGGCAGGGATAACTGTAGAGATGCGAGCTGTGTTTTGCCTGCTGAGTTGGAGCCTCGGATTCAGATAGACCTCCCACACTGTAGGGAATTAAACCTGGGACCAATACATGGAGGGGCTTAAAGACTAAGTGGTTTGCACTAGGTCGAGCTGAAAAGTTAGAGAATGAGAATAGTCAAATCAAAGTTGCCCCCCTGAGCCTTCCTTCCTTCTCCTGCTCCGTACTCAAAGCTGGTGGTCCCCTGAACTTGAAGAGCAAGTGAACAAAAGTGAAAGTTCTGCTGAAAGAGAGGCAGGGCTCTAGGGAAGATCATCACTGTCTGTGGTGGTGGAATGTCAGCCTCTCTGCTGTCTTCCCTTTCTGCTGAAATTCGTCTCATTTAGAAAACATCAAGGCTCCTTCATACAACTCTCTTGACACTCAAAGCAGCCTTTTTAGGTGGAAGGGGCAGGGTGTGGGTAAAGAGGAAGAGAAGAGAAGTTTCCATGGAAATGCTGCCTCTGGCTGGGATCAGGAAGTCATCACATGATCTCCACAAGGAGGCTTAACCTTTTGCTTCCTCCTTTTTTCAGAGCCACTAAAAGATTAACATAGGGCTTCTTGTCCCTGCGGAGCCTTGCTTCTGTATTACTTATAACCACATGTGGCCTTTTGAATTCCATTGCATCTATTTGCAGACAGAATTCAACTTCTCATGTTCAATTTAATTAAGAATTTTGCTTTGCCCTTACCCCCACATCGGGCTTCCCAGGGAATAACTTAGAAAACTTCCATCACGCCACCGGGCTTCTGAGTCTACTCTCCCAAGTCTGTTTTTCATAATCTTCAGAGCATGCTTAGAGAAAAGGCTAAAATGTACTCTGTCCCTTTAATTTCCTTCACAAGATGATTTCCTTAAATTGATGGGCCTCGTTATCATGCCCAAATATAGGACACTATCTCCTCTGGCCCATATGTATAATAGTCTTATTGTCAATACAAACTTCTTAAATATCAAACTCCATTTAGACTGGTCCCTCCCTGATGTCTAGATGTACACTCTCAAGGTGTCTCTTGTTTGCAGAATTTGAAAGTGTCCTACCCCACGCTGGGAAATTATTATGTGAATTAACCCCTGTGCTAATGCAATACTCTACTAACCAGAATTAGGGGCTCAGTAAATACTCAAGTATTTATTGAGCATCAATTGCCAGGCATATGCTGAGAGATGAAGATGCTATAGTAAGCACAACAAAAAGGTTTCTACCCTCAAGAAGCATATAGTGTATTAAAATAATGTTTTAATTTTAGTAATTTTTTAATAATAGTCATAACAACATATATTTTAAATAACTTTTTTCATGATTAATTGACTTTCTAAGTTGCTATAAAAGAATATTAAAGAGAGTTATTAGGGATGACAGAGGGACCTGTCTAGTCTTGCGAGGCATAGTCAAGGAAGGGTGTCTGGGAGAAGTTACATCTTGAGCCACACTTGAAAGACTAGCAGAAGTCTGCTTGATCAAGAGGAGAACAGTTGGCGTGAAAGCAGGCAGGGGGAATACCATATACAAAGGCTCCAACATGGAAGCAGGAGGGCATGTTCTAAGAGACTAAGGACAGTCAAGGTGGCTGTAACCCCCAAAATTATGGAGATGTGATATAAGTATGGAGATGTATATATGGGAAAGATCATAGTCCTTGAAGAGTTAGAAGCAGAGTTTAATGTAATCCCTATCAAATTTAAGACATTTCACTCAAGGGCCCAGCCCCATGACCTAGAGGTTAGGTTCAGCATGCTCCACTTCAGTAGCCCAGGTTCACTTCTGGGGCACAGACCTATATCACTTGTCAGCAGCCATGCCATGACGGCGACCCACATCAAAAATAGAGGAAGATTGGCACAGATGCTAGGTGAGGGCGAATCTTCCTCAAGCAAAAAGAGGAAGATTGGCAAGATAGATTAGCTCAGGGCCAATCTTCTTCAGCAAAAAAATAAAATAAAACATTTCACTCAAGCTGCTGAGATGAGAACATGTAGGGGTAGGAGCAAAAGTAAATATAGAGATAACTCTTAAGAGATTGTCAGAGTAATCCAGGCAATATGTTATGTGGCTTGGACCAAAGTGATGATCCTTGTGATGGAGAGAAGTGAATGAATTTGCGAGCTCTAAAGGTGGTGAATTCAAGAAGAGTGAGAGGTGAAGAAGAAAGAGATTTGGGGTCGACTCTTATGTTTCTGGCTTATGCCATTAACTAAAATAAGGAAAAATAGAGGGTAAAGTATTTGTGGGAATTGAATATGTGTTCAATTTTGGACATACTGAATTTGAGAGCTTTAAGTTATAGACTAGCCACAAACATTGGTCTTCTATTTTCTGGTATTCTCATAGATCATTCACCCCCTCATTGATTTTGACCTGGGCAACCTCGCTCTTTTCCCTCACTCTGATCATTTGTCTTTGCTCCTTTATTTGGTGATAGTTTGAACCCTGTTCTCCAGCTTTGATTTTTAGCCTTCCTTCTCTCAATTTTAATATTAACTACTATTTATTGACTATAAATAACACAATTAGCTCACTTTGAATAGTTAAAAGTTTTAAAAAGTTACTATAGAAATAGTTAAATACATTCAAACTAGAAACAAATAATATAATGAATTAGCATGTACCCATCATCAAGTTTCAACCATCATCTTTCAATAGGTATTGTTTCTTCTGTCTTCACGAACAAAAATGAAACAAACTTCTGACAACATATCTTATCTGTAATATCTCAGTATATATAGTTAACGATTAAGGACTTAAAAATATAACCACAATACCAGCCCAATATCCCAGGCAAAAGGAGAAAATAGGAATTCCTTAATATCATCTGATTTCAAGTCTATGCTCAATTTATTTTATCTTAAAAGTGTTCTTTTAAGATCCAAACAAGGTCTATACGTTACTTTTGATTGATATATTTCTTAAGCTTTTTAAAATCTGTTACTCTTCTTCTTTTTTCAGAGTTGACTAATTTTATCCTTGTGGCACCATTTACCATAATATGTTTCTTTATCTTG